ATTTCATATTTCCACCAGCACTGGAAGAGTGCTCTGCTCTAACAGCTACAACATCCAAGACCTGAGTAGCAACTGGTATAATTGTTATAGGGATCTCTGGTGACCAGGTGGGTAAGGAGTTGCCTTATCGACCCAAAGGTGAGCAACTGGAATCCACCAGCTGCTCTGAGGGAGAAAGATGAGCAACTTCTTCCTGGAAGATTTATAGACTCAGAAAACTTCTGGAGGGTCAGCCATGAGCCATCTCTCACTTGACACCAATGAGTGTATAGTGGTCTCAGGCTGGGTCTTTCAGCATTTTTAAACACTTTTCATCTCAATTTCCCACTTGTAAAGTTGGGGTACCATCTAAGTAATAATAGGGAAACTAAAGCACATTAAGTAACAGCTAAATATATCTCTAAAACCAAACCCCACCAGCATTTAGCGGATTCGGACTCAGCGATCCTGTAGGTCAGAGGACTGCCCCATCATGTCCAGTGTTCATATAAGCAGACTGCCACCGTCTTTCTTCAGTGGTGCAGCTGGGGGCTAAACTATTGTACCACCAGAGCACCTCAATATTAGTATCACATTTAAATACTTGCCTAATTAGCTGTTACTTGCCTCTGCCTAGGAGCCCTGTGGCACTGTGGATTAAATATTGCACAGCTACCAACTGGGTGGTTGGGACTCATCAGGAAAAAGTGGTATCACTTCCACTCATAATTATTTGCAGCCTCAGAATTCATAAAGGACAGTTCTACTCTGTCTTCTTACTTCATCCCCCACAGCTGCCTCTAGCTCATATTGTTCATAAGCTTTCCAAAAGTTGCTTATTTCAGAAGTGGACAGCCCAACCCTACTTCTTAGTCTCTTAGTATGTTTTAATCTTCACTGAAATTTATACCCTACAAACAACAGAGGAACACTGTTAGACTTAGTATATAGTAGAGGCCTTAGAGTCGAAGACACTAAAAATTGAGGAGCAACAGCTGCAAACATCCACTAATAACTGGAACATGGGATGTACAAAATGTGAATCCAGGAAAACTGGAAGTTGTAGAAAATTAAATGGAACATATAAAGATCAACATTCTAGGCATTAGCAAGCTGGAGTAGACTGGCATGGCACAGACTGCCAGTCCATTCCAGCTCACTAATGCCTAGAATCAGAAAGTCATATGTTCTACTATACAGAGAATGGAAAATTAAGAATGGTGTTGGATTCATAGTCCAAAAGGTGATTTCAAGATCTATCCTGAAGTAAAATGTTCTAATAGGAGACTGTCTATATGCATATTAGGAAGATATGTTAATATGACTATTGCTTAAATATACACACTAACCACTAAAGCCAAAGATGAAGAAACGGAAGCTTTCTACCCACTTCTGCAGTCTGAAACAGATTGAACATACAGTCACTGTGCATTAATTATTGGTGACTGGAATGCAAAAGTAGGAAAAAAGAGAGACTGGAAGTTGGAAATAGTGGTCTTAGGTATAGAAATGAGGCTGGAGGTAGAACAATGAAATTCTATACACTCAATTATTTATTCATTGCAAATACCTTTTTTTAGAACTTAATTCACTTTGTTACAGAAAATTCACTATGTGGTGGCCACAGCTGGAGCCTGAGTCCTCTGCATGGAGACTCTGGTGTGAGTCTTTACAAGATGATCTGTGAATTCCTGGTAGGGAAACTTAGTGAACATCGTCTCTTTCCAGAGATCTGGGGTCAAATAGCTGTAGGTCTTTGAGATGGCATCAAAGGTGGCCTTAGTGAAGTTGCTCAGGGTAGCTGTGTAGCCCCTGGCTGAGGTGTAACAGTCATCAATTCCAGCCATCATCAACAGCTTCTTAGGCACAGGGGCCGAGACGATTCTAGTGCCTCCGGGTGCAGGGATCAGACGCACCAACACAGAGCCACAGCGCCCCGTCACCTTGTAGGGAATGGTGTGAGGCTTGCCAATCTTGTTCCCCCAGTAGCCACACCGCACAGGGACAATGGAGAGCTTGGCTAGGATGATGGCCCCACGGATGGCAGTAGCCACCTCCTTGGAGCACTTGACGCCGAAGCCAACATGGCCATTATAGTCTCTGATGGCGACAAAGGCCTTGAACCTGGTCCGCTGGCCACGTGTCTGCTTCTGCACTGGCATGATTTTCAATACTTCATCCTTGAGGCACATGCCCAGGAAGAAGTCAATGATCTCAGACTCCTTGATGGGCAGGGAGAAGAGATAAATCTCCTCCAACGATTTTTATCTTCATATCTTTCACCAGGTGGCCCAGTTTGCTGATGGGGAGCCACTCCTTGTCCTCAGCTTTGCCTCCTCAAGCTCCGCGGCCCCTCCCACAGCCACGGCTCCGGCCCCGCAGACCACTACCAAAGCCTCTGCAAAAACCTCTGCGGGCTCCCATCCCAGGGCCCCCAGGACCTCCAGGGCCTCCAGGCCCTCCCACTGCACCGGTGTCATCCGCCATTTGGTGTTTCTCAGAGAAGAAGTGCAAATATCTTTTTAAAGAAAATAGCACTTACACAAATGACCTCACCTGATGGACTGCACAGAAATCAGACTGATTATACATTCATGGAAAGAATTGCTGGAGCAGCTTAATATCAGCAGTCAAAACCAAGACAGATGCTGACTGTAGAATAGACCATTTATTGCTCATGTGCAAGCAAAAGAAAATTACAACAACCCACAAGGACTCAAATATAATCTTGAGTCTATTTCACCTGAATTTGAAAACCATCTCAAAAACAGGTTTAAGGTATTGAACACTAATGACTGAAGACCAAATGAGATGTGAGATGACATCAAGGATATTATTCATAAAGAAAGCAAATACTAACTAGAACATTGACAAGCCAAAACAAAAGAAAGCCAAAGTGAAGGAGATGAATAGATTTCAAAGGGCAGCTCAAGAAGACAATAGCTGGAGTTAGAAAATAAAAAGGGAAGAATTTGCTTGGCATTCCTCAAACTCAAAGAACAGAGCAAAAAATTGAATCCTCAAGTTGCAATACTGAAGGATGCCATTGGCATCCTGAATGATCCAAGAAGCACCAAAAGCAGATGAAAAGAGTACACAGAGTCACTGTACCAGAAAGAACTGGCTGACATAGAATTATTTCGGGAAGTAGCTTACGATCAAGAAGTGATGAGGGAAGAAGTCCAAGATGCACTGAAGGAATTAGCAAAAGATAAGGTCCAGGAGAGCAAAAAATTAAATCCTCAAGTTGCAATACTGAAGGATGCCATCGGTGTCCTGAATGATCCAGGAAGTACCAAAAGCAGATGAAAAGAGTACACAGAGTCACTGGACCAGAAAGAACTGGCTGACATAGAATTATTTCGGGAAGTAGCTTACGATCAAGAAGTGATGAGGGAAGAAGTCCAAGATGCACTGAAGGAATTGGCAAAAGATAAGGTCCAGGAATTGATGGAATACCAACTGCCATGTTTCAACAAACCGGCACAGCCCTACATGTGCTCACTAAGTTGTACCAAGAAGACAGCTACCTGGTCAATTGACTGAAAAAGATATGTATTCTTTTTCTCCATTCCAAAGAAAGGTGATCCAACAGAACGTGGAAATTATCAAACAATATGATTAATATCATATGCAAGTAAAATTTTAAATATTATTTTTTAATGGCTTGAGTAGTATATAGACAGAACTGCCAGAGATTCAGACTGGATTTAGACGAGGTTGTAGCATCAGGGATATCACTGGTGATGTCAGCCTGATCTTGGCTGAAAGCAGAGAATAAAAGAAAGATAACTGTTTCATCTCCTACACAAAGGTATTTGGCTGTGTGGATCACAGCAAATTATGACTAACATTAAGAAGAAAGAAAATCTCAAAACAATTATGTTTATGTGAAATCTATACTAAGACCAAGAACAGTTGTCAGAACAGAGCTTGGGAACACTGCATGGTTTAAAATCAGCAAAGGTGTGCATAAGGACTGTATCCTCTCTACTTAATTGCTCAATTTCTATGCTGAGCAAATCATTCAAGAAGCTGGACTTCATGAAGAAAAATGCGGCATCAGGATTGGAGGAAGACACATCGACAACCTGTGTTGTGGAGATAACACAGCCTTAACTGATGAAAGTGAGGAAAACTTGAAGTACTTGCTGCAGATGACCAACAACTGCAGCTTTTAATATGGTTTGCATCTCAACATCAAGAAAACAAAAATCCTCACCACTATGCAATGTACAACATCATGATAGTTGGAGAACAGCAAACTGTCAATGACCTCATCTTACTTGGATCCACAATCAACAACCGGAGGCAGTCAATAAATTAAAGGATGTGTTGAATTTGTAAAGTCTGCAGTCAAGGGCCTCTCCAGAGTGAGGAGCAGAAGATAGCAGTTTAAAGACTAACATATGCCTGATCCAGTCCATGGTCTTTCCATTTACTTGTTATGCATCCGAGAATTAGTCAGTGAATAAAGACGACACAACTAAAGCCTTTGAGTTGCAGTGCTGGGAGAGAGTACTGAATATTCCACGGACTGCCAAGAAAACAAATACATCCTTGAGAGGATGCAGCCAGTGCGCTTTTGAGAGGAAATGATGGTGATACTTGAGTTTCACATATCTTGGACATGTTATAAGGTGGGGCCAATGCTCAAGAAAGTGGAGGGCTTGGGAAGGACGGGAAGACCCTCCATGAGATGGATTGACAGAGTGACTTCATCAATAGGCTTAAGTGTGGGACAGACGGTGAGAATGACGTAGCATCGGGCAGGGTTCAGATTGTCGTTCTTAAGGTCGTAGTAAGTCATAGTCAACTCGATGGCACTTAATAAGAACAACCTCTACCTCTGGGACTATTAGCCTCGCTTGTCTCTGTTTTCTTAACTGCACTTCAGGGTCGTAAACACTGTATGATTTTTTGAAAAATAGAAACCATCAAAACTTTTGAGTTCCCGTTTTGCCTTATGAGCAGAATGACCTCGAGTAAATCAACCTACACCTCATTCACCCTTATGCAAAATGAGAATAGTTGCAGCTACCTCCGGGGAGTTTCGTGCTGGGTAAAGCGAGGCGGCCACAAAAGCTGAGGGCCCATCTGACAGCGCCTCCCCAAAGGCGGCAGTTTATTTCCAGCAAATCCGAGGCCCGTGTCCTCCCTCTCTGCACGTCCCGCCGGCCCTGACCTCCGCCCGGCCCACACCCTCACTGCGCCCTTGGCCCCACGTCCCCCAGGACGCCTGGCGTGGGAGCCCCGGCCCCTCGCATCTCCCTGCAGCCGTCCCGCACCCTCTTTCCTTCCTCGCCCGGACGGACGCACTTCCGGCGGATGCCAGGGAGGGAGCCGCCCCCGGAAAGGGAAGTGAGTACTGGGGCCGGCTGAGGGCAGCTGAGCTGAGCGGTTCTACCGAAAGTGGCTCAAGATGGTGAGTGAATTAGTTCCCGGTACCGCGGGCTCCGCGGCGGCGCGCGCTGGGCTCGGCACTCCCGCAGCCTCCTCCCTCCCCTCCCGACCCCGGTGGCGGCCGCGGGACGAGACGGGCCTTGGGCGGCCTGATCTGCCGAGTCACGGGGCTGGAGGTGTTCGCGTCCCTGGTCGGTGCTGCTGGGAACAGCGGTTCAGCCTGCCCCTCTCCGTCTCTTCCCTCCAGTCTCTCGCCTCCATCTCCGATTCCCCGCAGTCCAGCCCCTTCCCTGCGGGCTGCGCGGAGCTGGGAAGGACAGACCGAAAGTGCTGTGTTGTGCTTTGTAGGGCGGTACCACGGTCTGTCCATTCCCCGGGGGAGGGGATGACCTCCGAGAGCCCAGACCACCTCGCTTCCTGTTCCCAGCGACCCGTTAGGACGGAATTGACTTGCCCCACAGCGTCTCCTAAAGCACGCTGCTTTTTCCTTCTCTAGGCCGGCGTGTTTGAACCGCCTACCTTTTGGTAAGGAGCCAAGCGCTTAACCTACCGCACCATCAAGGCTCTAGGCGCCCACACATTGTCACCCTGGGCCCCGTCGCTGTAGAGCGCGGGGTGTTGGGGTGATTCAGCATGTTCCAGCCGCAGGCCGTGTTTTCATGACTGCTGTCCACAGTTATAAAGGCTTGTAGTGTGTAGCCATGGTCCCCTTGTTGGAGGGAAAACCATCAGAGCTATTCATAGGGTGGCAGTGAGTGTACTGTCGGGCACCAAACAACATCGTGCTTGGAAAAGTAGAGGGTCTGGGAAAGAGGAAGACCCTCAAAGAGATGGATTGACGCTTCCTGAGCATTGGCCTGAGAATGGTGGGCACATGGAGATGGTTGGTGCCGGACCAGGCAGTGTTTTGTTACGTTGTGTGTGACGTTCTCTGAGAGCTGACTGGATGGCTCCCAACACTATCACTGCTACATGCCATTTGTCAATATTGTTAGAGTATCACCTGCTTTTTTTTTTTTTTTAAAAAAAGGCACCAACAAAAAGCAAACCCCAAACTTTAAACAAAAAGGATGAGAGATTAAGACTTGAAAGGTTGCATTGTTTGGACAAGACCCCTAGATTTGAGACTGAGATTCTCAGATTGGTACAGATAATCTTTGTGGAGGATCCCTGGTGGCACAATGGTTAAGTGCTTGGCTGCTAATTGAAAAGTGAGTAGTTGGACCTCACCATCTACTCAGGGAAAGATGAAGTCGTCTACTTCCATAAAGATTATTGTTGTTGTGTACCATTGAGTCTGATCTGACTCATAGCTGACCCTCTGGTAGGTTTTCAGGGACAGTTAATCACAAAGGAGGAGATGGCCCATCCTCCTCCTTCTGAGTAGCTGATGGATTTGAACCACACACCTTTGGGAGTGCAGCACAGCTTCTTGCTACTAGGCTTCAAGAGCTCTGTTCCATAAAGATTGTTGTTGTGTGCCATCGAGTCTCCTGTGGTCCATAGCAACCCTATGTACAGCAGCTCTGAACTCTGCCCTGTCCTGAGCCAGTCTCACAAATTCTGACACGCCAACCCCCATTGCCCCAGTCATTGTATCTATAAATCCATCTCATCTGGGGTACACCTTTAAAAATCCAAAGGGACATTCTGCTCTCCTGTAGTGTGATTGAGTAGGAGTTGACTAGGAGATTGTCCCTTCAAACCTAGAAGACTTTGAGAAATGACTGTCAAAAGAAGCATTATAAACACTCTTAAAATGACTGTTCCTTTGGTCTTCAGAGATCTGCATTTCTGTTCAACTTTATTATAAAGAACAAGTGTTGATCTTGATAGTTCACAGGATCTTTGAAGAACGATGATAATGTTAGAACCTAAAGATCAGAATGTTCATCTTTGTGTATATTCATTGCTGTCCAGTTGGAACCAGCTCACACCTGACCCTTCAGTGGGCTAGGCTGTACATCTCACGGAAGGGGATTGCCCATCTTCCTGCTGAGGAGTCGTCGGTGAGTGCAGACCACAAGAGTGCTGCTGCCTTTGGGGTAGCAGCACAGTTCCCAATGGACTAAGCCACCAGAGCTGCTGTCCCTTCATTGAAGCAGTGTATTAGGAGGAGAGTGATTGCTCATAAAAGAAAAAAATGGGAAACTTCAAAAGGTCCGTCAATCCCACAACTCTCCTCCGGGTTCCTGGTCCACAGGAAGGTCACTACTAACTCAAAGGTTGTGCCCTTCCAACAGTTGAAATCCCTTAGCAGCTCCACAGGAGAAACGGGAGCAATCTCCTCCCATGTCATTTACAGTCTCGGAAAACCACTGGAGGGTCAGCTCTCAGCTACCTGGCATGAGTTGGCAGGCCCAAAGAAGCTTTGTGATTGGCTCAAAGTCATATAGTAGGTTAGCAACAGTGCACACTAGTGGCCAGAGTCTTCACCATGACTTCTGTACAGAGGAAGTTAACCCTATTGTGAAGCTTCTGGAGTTCTGGCCTGAGGACTGGAGCCAGATAGATGTTCGTGAACTAGGTGAAAGTATTTTTAGCCGTGTTTGTGGGGGACTCAGTAATCATGTAGAACAGTTTAGAGACCAGCATGACCAAATAGAGTGCTATTGAGAGCCTGGCCTGGGATGGTAGCTTGAAGATCCAGTGGACAGGGTAAAGAGCCTGACCAGATAAAATAGAAAGTGAATTAAGAAATCAATTTTTAAAAATACTTTTCAGGTGAGAAAATTTCTTCTAGAATAGTAAGTATAGCCTGCAAAACTGCAAAGGAGCCCTGGTGGCCTGGTGGTAAGAAGTTGTGTCGCAGTCCTGAAGGCATAGTGGTTTGAATCCACCAGTTGCTATGTGAGAGAAGGATGGGCAATCTTGTCCCAAGCAATTTGCCATCTCTGAACACTTCACTGGAAGGTCATCCATGACTTGACACCAACTTGACAACACACAGTAACAACAAAACAAGTGGCTGGAAAATAATGACTGAGCCTTGTGATAGGAAAATTGCAGTACCTGGAAGAACACGGCAGTCCCATTGAGGTCCAGGCTTTGGATTTGATAGAGCTGTTGTACACTTTCTGCAGAAGCACATGTACTTTACATTTGAATAATGAATGATTTAAAGTCAGAGTTTGAAATTTTAAAGCTGGTGGCTCTGATTTTAAGGAAAAAGCAGCAGTTCAAACCCACCAGCTGCTTCAAGGGAACAGTGCTTCCATAAAAGCCCTATGGGTTAGTTCTAGGAGTCAGAATTGATTTGATGGCAGTGAGTTGAAATTTTTTTTTCATTCTGTCTCTTTCTTGCTAATAGTTTGAGTCTTCACAAACACCTTGTAGTTTGTTCATTTACACTTTCGTGGTTTTTCACATGTTTTCCATTTTTCTGTTTCCCAGGGCTGCCTGTCAGTCTGATAACATTCAGGGATTCCTGCCATCTCCAGTCCCAGCCTTCTTGTTATCCTTTGCTTCATGTATCTCTCTGTAATGCTTATAAAGAAGTGAGTAAAATATTTAATAGCATTTTTAATTTGTCTTTCAGAATTCCAGAGGACTTGGATCTCAGCTAAAAGATAGCATCCCTGTAACTGAACTATCAGCCAGTGGCCCTTTTGAAAGCCATGATCTTCTTCGAAAAGGGTATGTCTGGTTATGAGGACATGGGGACCTTGCAGGGTAGGTTTTGTTACTGTGAAGCAGCTACGGTTTTGTGTTTTCCACTCTTCTTTAGCTGTTCTGATGAGCCATAGATCCATTTTGTTTGGAAGCTAGTAAGGTCCACACCTTGGTCATGGAAGTGGGGCTTAGATGTGTAGGCATTTTTTACAGTGGAGAGAAAAAACATTTTACCCAAGGGTATGTTCCCTGAACAGGGCATCTGAGGAGATGGCGCCTAGTAGTGTGGTTGGGAGGGTTCTGCTTGCTCCCGGTAACTGAAAGAACAGTTCACTTACTTCCGTCAGTAATCACTCACCTTGCTTTGGGAAATGCTAGGGAGCTCTGGTGGCTTAGTAATAAGAGAGTTTCATTATCAGCCCAAAGGCAGATGGTTCAAATCCACCAGCTGCTCCTTGGGAGAAAGATGAGTAATCTCCTCACATGCAGTTAACTAACTCTGAAAATCTGCTGGAGGGTCGGCTCAGAGTCCATTCCTACTTGACAGCACATAACAGTTAACAGAGCCCAGTAGTCCAGGAATGCTGAACTCTGGCTGCCTGGGTTTGAATCTTGACTCTGCTATTTACTGTACAGTTACTTAATAGGTTGCTACCTTAGTATCTTCATCTATAAACTAGGGCTTATAATAGTGTATATCTAGTTTTGAGGAATCAGCCACTTGATGCCTTAGAGCAAGCCCCGACCACTGTTGGCTGCTTGTGCTGCTTTGCTTTTCTGGCTTCACATGTAGTTATGATGTTGGTTTCCCATATGTTCTTAGAGGTTTAGTCACCATGTGTGCTACCAGCTAGCCTTTTCTTAATAAAGATAATACCTTTCACTCTACAAATGGTTTTCATTTTTTTAGTATTACAGCCAATTTTTTAGAATGCTTACTAAGATCAGGATAGAATGAGACTCTCAGTTTACTGTCCTGGAACAGACATAATATTTCACTGCAGATTTTCTATTTTTTGTTGAAAGGGTTACAGGATCCTTTGGAATCAGGTATAATTTGATGTATGATATAAGCCCACCTGATTTTGTTGTGCTTCTTAGCTACTGAGTTTTTTCACAAATCAAAGTTTGGAAGCAAGGCTCTGCTCATGTTGAATCTTTTTTACATTTTTCTAATTGACATAACATTTCAAACTTTTTTCATGTTGCTATTATATCCTTAATAGACTATGTTGTATGTCATGTCAGAACCAATGCATAGGTGACCGTCCAGCAGGTTTTCAGTGGCAGTAAATCATGTGGGAGTAGTTTGTCCATCTTTCTCCTACAGAGCAGCCGGTGTATTCAAACCAAGTGCCTTTGAGTTGGCAGCACAACTCCTTAACCACTAAGCCACCATTGTTCCCTTAGTAGACTACAGAATAGTATAAATATAACTTTTGTGTACACTAGTAAAGTGGAAAAATGTATGTGACTCCCTGTATAGTTTTATTAAGGGGATCTGGATTGGAACTCCGAGGTATTGCCTATATTATCAAATCCATGCACTAGTTAGTAACCAAATTCTGATGATTTTCTTCCCTCCTCTTGTACCTTGTTAGAATGGAAGATTGCCATGAGCAGTACTGTTTTCAAATTCTCCATCTAGACTGCACTTCTGTATAAAGACAGTGTTGAAGAGATGATTATTGGAAGGTTTCTGCTGTTTCTCTCACCTTCGAGATCCGTATCTGGAGTGATGTAAGCCAGTGGCATGGCCAGCTGTGCATCACCTAGCAGTACTTTGCACATAGTAGCTGTTCAGTAAATGCTGGCCTATTTGTTGAATGTGTGTTTACTGTTAAAGGTATTTTAAGAGTGGATTAGGCCTTTAGGGAAGAATGGTAGAGGATTCTATATGGTACAAGAAGCATCTCCTCAGAGTATTAGTCATTCATTTATTGAATTTCTTACAGTTATAGGACATAATTTTAGAATCTATTTATAGAGGTCTCCTTAGTGAATTGAAGCCTTTGACCCTCAATATTGAGGATAATAATTCTTTTAAAAATTATATATTTAACTTTTTTTTCTTTTGGTGTATAGTTCTGTGAATTTTAACATATGTATAGATTTCTATAACTCCCATACATAATCAGGATATGAAACAGTTCCATTACTCATTTAAAAACTCTGCTATTCTACTATAGGGCATCCTGGTGGCTTAATGGTAAGGACTTGTTCTGCAGACACAAATGTATGCTGTTCAAATCCACCAGCTACACCATAGGAGAAAGATAGGCAGTGTCTTCCTGTGTGATTTACTGCCTCTCACAACCTGCTGGAGAGGCAGCTGTGGGTCAGTCCTGACTTGAAGGTACACACATCAGCCTGTTACACTTACATTCTTGATAGATGCAGTTCTTAATTTATATTTTTTTTTTGGTAGCTATAGTTATGAGCTTTGGGTATTAGATGATATTTAACCTGCCTTTCAAATGTTTGCTTTCAGTTTTTCTTGTGTGAAAAATGAACTTTTGCCCAGTCATCCTCTTGAGTTATCAGAAAAAAATGTAAGTATGTTATTAAATTCCTGTGTTTTTATTTTTGTTTTCTAGTAAGAAAATAACTTTCCGTAATACAATTTGTGGCTTCATTTTTTATTAAAATGATTCTAGTGCAAAGAAGTCCTCTGTCCTGTAGGGTTGCTGTGAGTAGGAATTTACTGGAAGGATACGATCTCTGGTGGTATAGTGGATTATTTATTGGTCTATTAAGCTAAAGGTCAGCAGTTCAAATCTGCTTGTTGCTTTGCATGGGAAAGATAAAGCATTCTGCTCCCGTTAAGATTTACACCCTTGGAAACCTGGTGAGGGGTTGTGAAGACATAGAGCAACTTGATGGCAGTGGGTTTGGTTTGGGATTTATAAAGGTAGACATTTGAATTTGACTGCTTCAACAAAGCTCCCTTTCACACATTTGTCCTTCATCTTTTGCATGGACTACAAAGATTGATCTCTTTTTCTCTCATAATACTTCTTTTTTTTATCATCTCATTTTCTTTTACCCTATTTCCCCTTTTATCACCTTGCCGTTGACTTCTAAGTCCACATTTTTAGCTGGGAGCTCTTCTTCAGTCCCTGCATCATGGAGTTACTAAGGGGCATATCCGTTGCAGGGGGTACACAGGTGAAGATGACATAGTCCTTATCCTAAAGAATTTAGTGTTTGTGGGGAAGACAATCTTGAATAGATAATTCATGAAGTGTTACTGGATTCAGAAGTGACATTGAGAGTATAAAATTAAAAGCATATGCATTATCGTAAAACTTGTTGATCACCTAAGGAATAATGGTGAAAATGAACATCACCTATAGACTGAAGATAAATAAATAATCTTTTTTCTAATTGAGCTTGAACTAAAAAACATAGACTAGTTATGGAAACATAGACCCTGGGCACTGTTCTTAAAGAAACTGGTAACGCCACTGTAGTGGCCACCAGCAACTGAAGGAGCTTATAACAGATTAAAGGTTAATTAACATTTTTTAACATACTGAATAATTTCTTTTACTATAAATTCATGAGAGGGCAAAACCCAATTTTATTAATTCACTCTTTATTAAATTATAATATAGATGACTTAAGAGCTATTATTTGACCAGAAGGTCTTGGGAATAGGATGGTGAACTATGGACTGAGTGGAAGTACTGTTGGGTAAATTGTGGTTGATGTCCACTCCTTGTGGACATTAAAGAATAAAGGGTGGGTTTTGGTGGCAATCTTGAGCTCCTATCTACATCTGTCCTACTAAGTGTTTTTCAGAGACGTGAGAAAAACTGTAGTAAACATGTAAATCTGATTTTTTTTTTTTTTTTGCGAGAGAGAGAACAATTAGTAAGTTTAGCTAATTTTGATAAATAAGTCAGTGAGACATAGATGATACAGTTGACTAGGTTGTGAGGCCAAAACTTCAAAAGGAACATTTATGGAGGAGAATGTCAAATTTTGCACAAAGCTTCCAGAAAAGAATCACACATTCAAGTAAACCTCAATTGCTGCCTAAATATTACTGTTTTAATTGACTGTGTTCTCAGTTTAAACTAGCAGATTATATTGGTTATGAAAAAGAAACTTCTTGTAATTTGAGATTTTATTAGTGAGAAAATATGGCACAAAGAAGACCTTTTGTTACAGGGTCCCTGTGCGTAGTAGTCATCTTGACAGCACCTAACAGTGGAAGTCTGGCTATTTGATTTGAAATACTGCTTCGAGAAACTGACAATTTGAGTGAGACTGTTCAGAATGGTGAACAGTAAAGATTTCCTTTTCCCGGCAGTCCCTGCCCTATTTTCTTTAAATGTGTGCCGCTTACTTATACTCACATGAGTTGTATAGTTACACTACACAGCCACAAATCCTTCCTACTGTATTTACTAGCTAAGTAAATAAACTCTCTTGAAGTCTTCATGTCTTCACTTGTGAAATAGAGTTTTGAGAGGTGAGTGAGGTTGCACAGCCATAGTCTGGGGCACATGCTGGCTGTAGTAGTTCTCTGTGATCAAGGGGGGTGCTACAGGAGGAAATATGATGGTCGGTCACCACCATCTATGCCAGTTGTTCCCAGAAAAGATGATTTTTTTTCTTTTTTCCCCCCCCTAGAGACCATTTGATAATGTTTAAAGACTTTTTTGGTTTTCCTACCTGAGGATGCCCTTACTAGCAAACCTAGTCCTAAGAAGCTGCACTGCAATCCCTAAGGCATGCAGTTCAAATCTACAAACTACTCCCTCCACACAATAAAGATCGGCATTCTCCTTCTGTGCTATTTGCTGCCTCTGAAAACCCACTGGAGGGTCAGCTTGATGGCACAGAACAACTTGGGGAAGTAGGCTGCTACTGGCATTTATTGGCTCAAGACTGGGGGTGCTCTTAAAATACCACAGTGCACAGCATAGCACCCACCCCTCAAACAGTTCTCTAAGCTAAGATATCATAGTGCTAAAAGTTGAAAAACTGGTATATAACCAACTAGGTTATACAGTCCAAGGTAAAAGGTTTCTTCTCATTTTTGTATGGCATCACAGGGCCTAATTTTGTACAGGGTTGCTGATTGTTAAATATATATTGACTGTGCATCACAGTTAAATGTTAGATTACTAGGTGGGTATATTTATCAAAAGTTTGTGTTAAGTTTTCTTTTTCTGTAACAATACTTATTATTAGAACAACTTAGTAGTTAACCTGTCAGTTACAACTCCAAATCAGATACACATTAAAAAATAATGCAGGGTAAAATAGACACAGATATTTTAGATTTTATTAAGACTGATACCTTATATTGTTTTTATAGCTATTAAACCCTTCATCTCAGTGCAGGCGCAGATGTATCCACAGTCATTGTTTGAAAGGAGGGGTTAACTGTAACCTTTCTGCTTGTCATCTCTTGTAGTTCCAGCTCAACCAGGATAAAATGAACTTTTCCACCCTGAGGAACATCCAGGGTCTGTTTGCCCCCCTGAAGCTGCAGATGGAGTTCAAGGCCGTGCAGCAGGTCGGTCTGGGGGAGGTGGGGAGTGGTGCAGACATGTCCACTTGCTGATGTCTATTAAAAGAATCTCTTCTATTTTCATTACAACTCTTTCAAATATTATCTTTCCTGCTTCTCTGTAACGTAATCTGCTTCCCTTCTTTCAAGTATATGACCTTGATTCCTGCGTCACAGGAGAAAAAGAAACTGTTACATGGACATTTCCTTCACATTCTGGGCTCAGTGTCTGAAAACTTAATGTGCGTCTCTGTTCAGATTTTTCCCATTCTAGGGGGTTGCACTAATTTTCAGTGCCCTTAGGAGTATCCTGATGGGGTCTTTATTAGACATTTTTATATGTAATTGAGCATACCTGCTGTTCAAGAATAGAGCTTTGTCCTTCCAAAGATATAAGAGCTGTCCCCCAACCTGTGTGTGAGTCTTCCCACATCCTGCATCATTGAGAACCCTTCAGTGACCCTTTCCACAGTGTTTGGCTTTACCCTTTCACCCTCTTTGTACTTGCTGTCTTATCAGCAACATTTACACATTCTAACCATTTTGCCTTTTAAAACAAACTCTGTGTCTCAAGCTTTGATACAACTTCTCTCACCGAGTGCATTCATACAAATAAATTGAGTTTCTTGACTGAGTGGCCAGGTTTGTGGTGTGCATGCCTGAGCTTCCTGCTAATTTGTTTCGCTTGCTTCGTGGCCTCATTAGACCAAGGAAATGGATCCTAACCTGGCTGGGCCTGTGTGCCTTCCTTTGACCTGCTCTCTATGTAGCACTTGACCTGAGTCCTTGACCTGAGTCCGTTGGCTTTGAGAACCCTGCACGGTCCAGTGTTCCCCCTGTGTCCCTCAGTCCTCTTTTTTTGGGGTGTCTGTCTATCAAGTCCTTTCATTTTATCTAGTTCCCCTAAATGCTGCATTTTTTTAGCCTTCTGGGCCACTCTCATCCCCCTGTCATTACTTGTCTGTCCTGCGTGTATCGCTATCATTTATATGCTGAGGACTCCCAGGTTATAGGTCTCATGAGCTGTAGACCTATTAAAAACGAAAACATATTGCTGTCCTCTCTCTCTGTATTTCCTTTCAAGGAAACAAGTCTGTCCCTTTGAGGATATAACTTCCTAATAAGTCTCTTGTTGCTATTTTACCTTTAAAAAAACCCAAAAAAACAAAACCCCAAACGTATTGCTGTCAAGTCAGTTTCACCTTTTTCCCTCGTGAGCAGTAGAATTGCCCATGATGTTTCCATGATGGTGGTCTTTGTGGAAGCCGAACTGCTGTATCTTTGTCATGGAGCAGCTAGAAGATTCAAATTCTAACCTTCAGGTTAACAGCTAAGTGCTGAAACACTGCACAAGGGGTCACTTTTAGTTACACAGGCTTTTCCAGCTGGATGCACCTACAAACACTTCAGTGTCACAAGTACAAGCACAAACTAACATTTTTCTCACATACTTCTACTATGTATAAATAGGTTCCTGCCTCAGACAAAAATCAGAATATTAGCCTTGGTTATTTTCTCTTAACCAGGGCCTCGTCCTCAGTCATAATTCTCCTCCCTCCCCATCTGCTTAATCACCTGATCTCTCTTGATTCCCATCTTTTCATCACCATGGCCACTGTGTTGGGTTTGACCATTCTCAGGCCTTCATCTGGATGTCCATCTGCAGGAGGCTTGATGCTCCTCTAATCCATTATGCACACTTTCCAACCAGAAAAATCTTTGTAAAACATAGAATGACCATCCCACTCCCTTCTTATGGGTCTTTCAGTGGAACTTTACCAGCAAACGAAAGTCTGACCCCTTAACGCGCACCCCCCCCCCACCCCGCTCTTCACCATACTCCAGGTACCTCCTGCTCGGGGTTCTTGGGCTTTCTTGATTACTTGGGCTCTCCCACTTTTCCATTTTTTACCCATATTCTGCCTACCCATGTGGTCTTGTCTCTCACCTGCTAACATTGTACCTGTGTCAATAAACTTTACTGATGCCATTAATTGAATGGGGTAAATTATTCTGGAAACTGCTTTTGGTACCTTTTCCCAAAGAACTTGGCTGTAAATCCAAGTAGCAGATTTGGACTTTGCTTCTCTTCTTCTAGATCTGGGAACTTAAGATCTGAGCCTCGAATTTTTTGTGTTTGTGTATATTTTACATTAAATGACAGAGACAGTATAAGAGCAGGGTTGTTCTGAAGACTGAAATGAAATGCTTGTGTGCCACACAGATACTAACTTCTCTTCTTACTCTCTATATCTATTTCTCATCTTCTGGATAAATGATGCTTGGGATTGGAGCCTAAACTTTTAGTCCTGTTTACTCCAAAAAATCTTTGTCCAGAATTCTGACCTCCTTTATATTTTTAGAATTCTTGATTATGAAGATACCCTTAAAATTTTGCTGAAAAACATATAACATTCACCTGTTTATTTCCAAACTGCATCTTCCTTGCAAAAAAATTTTGTCATAGCACATCCATGAAAATGCTCACAGACTAACTTAGGCGCATCTTTTTTGTGTCAGAATGCGCTCATAGTGACTGTGACTTCACTCTACCTGATCACCTCACTGCTGTTCCTGGACTTACAACTTCCTCTTTCTGCTCCTTCCTCTTTTCTCTGCCCTCCCCATGCATACCATCCCCTCCTCCCCAAGTCTTGATGGTGTAGACAAACTTTTTCACAGTAAATATTTAAATAACTCTTCACACCTTTTGTAATTGAAAGAATTAGGTTTTTTCTGATTTTTTTGTGAAAGAAGAATATTCATATGACTCCCTCCTTAGAGGCAAACTAAAGGAGATGCCTGCTGGTCCCTCCATAGACAGGGAGGCCAATTTGTTGTTTGGGTGGGGTTTTTTGTTTTGTTTTGTTTTTAATTTTATTATCTTTTGTGTGTGTATGTGTACCATCAAATTGGATCTGACTGGTACAGGAGGAGATTGTCCCTCCTCCAGCCGAGCATCTGGTCAATTCGAACCACGCACCTCTGGGATTACAGTGTGTTTGGGTGTTGTTTTTTTAAAAAAACATATTGCTGACTTCAAATTGACAAAAAGAACTAAACTATGAAATAAGCAGATCTAACATAACCTCCTGCTTGCTGAAACTGAGGAAGATCTGAAGCACTGGCTGCAGAAGATCAAGGACTGCAGCCTTTAATGTGAACTGAAGCTCAACATCAAGAAAACAGAGATTCTCACCACTGGACCAATTGGCAGCATCATTATGAATGGTGGAGAGTGAGATTGTTAATGGCTTCAGTTTGCTTGGCTCCACAATCGACACTCTTGGTACCAGCAGCAAGGAAATCAAGAGATGAATTGCATTACTGGCAAGCAATGATGTCAGTCTGGAGACTGAGGTGCGCCTGATCAAGGCCATAGTCTTTGCAATTGTTTGCTATGCGTCAGAGAGTTTGACAGTGATTAGGGATGATAGAATTGATGCCTTTGAGCTGTGATGCAGGAGAAGAGTATTGAATATACCATGGACTGCTAGGAGAACGAACAGGTTCATCCTAGAGAGAGTGAGACCAGGCTGCTCCTTGGAGGCAAGGATTCTGAAGCTTCATCTGACATACTTTGGACATGTTTCAAGGAGGAACCAGTCCTTCAAGAGGGACATCATGTTTGGGAGGGTAGAGGGACGGCACAGGAGAGGAAGACCGTCAATGAGATGGATTGATTCAGTGACTGGGGTAATGGGGGTAGGTGTATCAGAAACAGTAAGGTTAGCAGAAGATAGAGCAACATTTAGGGCTCTTGTACATAGGGCCACTGTGAGTCACAAGCGACTAGACGGCACATAAAAACAACATAACCTCATGATTTCAGTTTCAAGGAATCTTATAAGGTTTTTATATTGAACTATTGTACTATAATTATCAACATCTATTAATAAAGACAAGAATATAGTCTGTTTTCTTATTACAGGGGTACTGCCAGAAGCATTCATTACTTCTTGTAAAATATGAGAAAGTTTATAAATCATATTGGTCTTTAGTCATGCATATACATTTTGGTTTATGGAGTTAATTACAATTTATTTAGGTAATTAATTATAGTATCTATCAGTCTTTTATAATCTATGACTTCGTGACCTTGGCTATACAATTATGATTAGTAGCATTAGACTATTTTAGTATACATAAGCAGGAGAATCAAGAACATTACCAAAATGGCTGAAACTCACCTCTGGAATTGTCACAGGATGTGTACAGTAAACATGTAGGTGAGCTGTGGCAGAACAGCTTTACTTCATTGTGTCATTTCTGAGCATTGTATGCATGAGCATGTTATTTGCAAAACTGTAGTAGTCCATTTACTAAGTAGAACATGTTCTTGCTGAGTTGAGGTCGCCTCAGGACTTTGATCATGCCACATTTATTAGGTGAGAGCTGTGATGTCAGGCCCTGGAGAGGCTTTTCTTCACATGGTACGTGCTGTGTAGGGCCCTCATACGTGCACACCAGACAGGAATTACTGCACAATACATTGTTAGTATCGCTGTAGATCTTGAAGAAATGTGAGGAGCTTTTGAAAACTCCTGTTTGGGTCTTAGATTTTTTTTTTTAAAATTCATTTGTCTGGTTAAACTAATATTTTATGTGGCCTTGTAAATTTCATAAGTAAAAAGTGAAGAATATTAAATTGTGTATTTTCTGGACTCTCTTCTTTTTTCCCTCTCTTGATTTTTCTCTTTCATGTTTTTCTCAAAGGCTCAGCGCCTCCCATTTCTTCCAAGTTCAAACCTCTCACTTGATATTTTGAGGGGGAATGATGAGACCATTGGATTTGAAGATATTCTTAATGGTAAGTATAAGACAGCAGTGTTTTATGGAGCCCTGTTACATAAGGTGCAGTAGCAAAGCAGACAGACAAGTCTTTTTTCCCATGGACCTTCAGCCTGTTGGATCTGCTGTGTTCATTGTCTACAATGTGATGTAATGGCAGTGACGGAGCTCTAGTGGCGCAGTGTGTTGAGTGCTGTGCTGCTAGCTGAAAGGTCTGTCAGTGGTTCAGATCTACCAGCTGCTCCGTGGGAGAAAGATGGATGTCTCCTGTAAAAATTCACATACACCCTTGGATTTGGTACACTTTGGGTTAAATGGATGATTGCTTTGAATCAGAAGCTGCTTGATGGCGGTAGGTTTGGGATTTGGTGTAGAGTGATGATTGTGAGATCCTGAGGCTCTCTTCTCTTTAGTTTGTAACTGGCTAAGTGCCGTCGGCTAGACTAGGACTTATAGCCACCCTGTGCACTACACAGAACGCTGCCTGGCTCCACGCTGTCCTCACAGCCTGCCGTGTGTCAGCCTGTTGTTGCAGACAGCCCTTCAGCCCATCTGGTAGAGGGTTTTCCCCGTTTTCTGCTCACCCTCTGCTTTACCAAACAGTGTTTTTCTTATTTACTAACAGTTGTCATTAGCTTTATGTTTATGAGCAAGAAATTTGGTGTGTGGGGGGTCTAATAAAATGACTTGTTTTTAGAATAGCTCAAAAGAAAGTGTTTTTTAAAAAACAACACCCCCTCCTCCAATTTTTTTCATTTCTGTTTTGTACATGGTGCGTTCCTCTACTGTTCATAGGAGGACTTGAAGCACTTGTTGCAGAAGATCAGAGAATACAACTTTCAATATATATATTGCATCTCAATTGCATGTGGCTTTGGGTTGACAGTGCAACTTCTGATACCACTTAGCCGATAGTGAATCACATAGGAGGAGATTACCTGTCTTTTCTCCCAAGGAGCAGCTGATAGATTTGAACATCCTTGGGTTGGTAGAGCAGCTCTTATATCGGTATGTTGTAGTTGTGTTGTTATGTGTCGTTGAGTTACCTGTGACTCTATGTACAACAGTTGTAAACCCTGCTCTATCCTGTGTCCATCTTACTGTTTCTGACACACCTATCCCCATTACCCCAGTCACTCAATCAATCCATCTCATTGAGGGTCTTCCTCTCCTGCTCTGTCCCTCCACCTGCCCAAGCATGATGTCCCTCTCTAAGGACTGGTTCTTCCTTGCAACATGTCCAAAGTATGTCAGATGACGTTTCAGAATTATTGCCTCCAAGGAGCAGCCTGGTCTCATCCTCTTCGGGATGAACCTGTTTGTTCTCTTAGCAGACCTACTCTTCTCCATCACTACAGCTGAAAGGCATCAGTTCTCCTTCTATCATCCCTAGTCATTGTCCAACTCTCTGGTGCATAGCAAGTGATTGCAAAAACCGTGGCCTGTATCAGGCGCACCTTAGTCTCCAGACTGGTGTCATTGCTCTTCAGTACTTTGGAGAGGTCTCTGACAGCAGACTTTCCCAATGTAGTATGTCTTTTACTTTCCTGCCTGCTAGTACCAAGAGTGTTGATTGTAGAGCCAAGCAAACTAAAGCTGTTTACATTATCAATGTCTTTGCTATCCATCATGATGCTGCCAGTCAGCCTAGTGGTGAGAATCTTTGATTTCTTGATAATGAGCTTCAATTCATATTGAAGGGTGCCAGTATCAGTATAAGTGTGTTTTTAATGTGTTCATCTTTGAGCTATAAAAGGATCATGTTAGGATAGAGAAGCAAGTAGATATTGAGGAAGATATATGCCAGTCTGTATCAAGGAACCAAAGAAAAAAAGACTTTCGTCCAGAACCCTCAGTGAGAAAGCCTACCCGACAGCCAGCACCTGAATCCAGGCTTTGAGCCTCTTAGACCCTGAGATTTCATTTTACTTGGATCCACATTCAACGCTCATGGTATCAGCAGTCAAAAAATATCAAAAGACTTGCCACACAGGAAAAATCAGCTATGGAGGACCTCTCCAAAGTGCTAAAGCAAGGATGTCAGTGTAAAGAAAAAGGTGTGCTTGATTCAGGCCATGGTCTTTTCAGCCCCTTGCTCTTCATCTGAAAATTGGATAGTAACAGTAACCAAGGATGACAGAAGAATTGATGCTTTTCAATCTTGAGTTGTGGTATTGGAGAAGAATGCTGAATATTCCAAAAGAACAAATCTGTCTTGGACCTCTTGTAATCAGGGCACTCCTTGCTGTTGTGTGCCATTGACTCAGAACTGGCCCATAGCTGACCGTGCAGCAGGTTTTCAGAGGCACTTACATGGAAGGAGAAGGCCCATCATTCTCCCACAGAGCAGCTAGTAGCTTCAAACTACAGATCTTTGGAATTGCAGTGCAGTTTCTTGCCACTTTCTCTCACATACTTAGGACAAGTTGTTAGGAGGAGTAAGTCCTTAGAAAAGGACATTATGTTGGGAAAGGTGGAAGGTCAGAAAAAGAGACCCCAACAAGCTGGATTGACAGTGACTAGCAATGAGCATGAGCAAGGCAGAGATGGTGGGGATGGCACAAGCTAGGATGTGGCTCAGATCTGTTAGGCTCACTGTGTGTTGTAGTAGATTTGATGGCACCTAACATCAATACGCTGAGAAAGAAATTCTGTTCAGTGAGGTCACCCACTTGTGATGTGGATAGTAATTTATTTTTTACAAAACTGAGTTATTTCATTAGGTTTTCTCTCAGATTTTATCCTTATGTAGGGAGTAAGGGGGCAGAAAAAGGGAGCTTTGTCTTTAGGAGAGCTTAGTTGTTAGTTTTCTTCATTTATGTGTTTTGTGGTATATGCAGCTGTAGAAGCAGTACTCATGGGCCTGGGAAGTGCCCTTTGCAGCCTTTTCTTGAGAATCTGAAAATATGTGGCGTTTGTTTGCTTTCAGATCCCTCCCAAAGCGAAGTCATGGGTGAGCCGCACTCGATGGTGGAGTACAAGCTGGGTTTGCTGTAGAGCGACGCTGGCAGCACACCTGAAGGCTGCAGGGTGTCCAGATCTGCTTGGCTGTGTGCAACATTAAAAGTATTGACACACTAGACGTCTACCTAAATGGTGTCTATGACCGTGTGAAATTATTTGGGCATTTCATTTATGGTTGTGCGATAACTGACAGCATCAGAGGACCATGGTTTTCAAACTCCTAGTTTGTATTAAGACTATATCCTTCCATATCTGTAAGAACATGTTGCTAATAAGTCTCATAAAACTGCCTACAGGTTCCTCTTAAACCCATTTCTAGATACTCTATTTGTCTACCTATGAGTAACTTATCATTCTTTTGAGTCTATAATTTTTACAGTAGCAGCTTTCAGACTAAATATTTGTAATTTATTTCCATGGCAACATTCACATAAAATGCAGAATACAATGTCTTCTCAATATAGCTCAGTAACACACCTAAAAGTAATACTTGCTTTATTGGTAATAATTTAGAATCTTTAATTTCTTCAGGGCAGAAAGGTTAAGTACATAGTTTAAAACTTTGCCCTCACTACTTTAAAGTGAAACACAAAAACAACCAGCAGATACAGGTTAAACTTTTGTGCTTCATAGATTTAATATCGATGTTTGGAGCCCTGGTAGTATAGGGTAGCGCTATTGCTATTAACCAGGTCTGTTTTTCAGACCCACAGCTGTTGTTCAGGAATAAGGTGAGATGATTGCTCCCATTAAGGTTTACAGCCTTGGAGACCCTGTGAAGGGTAACTAGGAGTCATACAGACTTCACACTAGTAGATTTTGTTTTTGATATGTATCAAATGCATTTAAAACATTTTAATATTTCTTTAATACTGCTATGTAACTTGGCAAAACTCAATCTTTGTCCTCTTGTTACATTTTTCATAATAATTAGAATGTTTTTAAATACTTCTGTTACCCACAAGTAATTTTCATAGTATAATCACATCTCAAAATGTGTTTTCACCTTCATTCTTGCTCATAAGGTATGCTGTATGAACTGGGGATACAAAAGTTAAAGTTTGTGGTGGGTTTTTTTTTTTAACATTAATGACTATAATCTTTAATAAAAATTCATTTTGTTCAGTGCCTGGAGGAGGGGTTCTTAGGTGTTACTGTCAAGGGAGCAGATCACCAGGCTTTTCTCCTACGGAGCCGCTGGGAGAGTTAAGCCACCAGACTTCTGGTTATAGCTAAATGCTGACCTCACCACTCACTCATTCCCAGTGCTCTTGGGTTAAGATTAATTCGTAGTTGACTGTTGAGTTTCTGAGGCTATAAATCAAATGGGAAGAGACTTCCCTTCTTCCTCCCATAGGGTTGCTGGGAGTTTGAACCACCAGAGAGGCTGATCTTTGGGTGAACAGCACAACTCCTGTGGGGCAAGCCATTTGAGCTCCTAAGACATTGTTTTAACAATTATGTGCTGTCTAGTCGTTTGCAACTCGTACTGACCCTATGTACAAGAGCTCTAAACTCAGTTCTATTCTGTGCCAACCAAGCCATCTCAAATGCACTCATTCCCACCACTCCAATCACAGAATCGATCCATCTCATTGAAGGTCTTCCTCTCCTGCACCACCCATCCACTCTGCCAAACATGATGTTCCTCTCCAAGGATCAGTCCCTCCTTGCAACATGCCCAAAGTATGTCAGACAAAGCTTCAGAATCTTTGCCTCCAAGGAGCATTCTGGCTTCCCCTACTCCAGGACAAACCTGTTGGTTCTCCTAGCAGTCCATGGTATATTCAACACTCTTCTCCAGCACCACAACTCAAAGGCATCAATTCTCTTTCTGTCATCTCTAGTCATTGTCCAACTCTCTGGTGCATAGCACATAGTTGCAAAGACTATAGCCTGGATCAGGCACACCTTAGTCTCCAGCCTGACGTCATTGCTTGTCAGTACTCTTGAGAGGTCCCTCACAGCCGACTTTCCCAATGCAATTCGTCTTTTGATTTTCTGGCTGCTGTTACCGAGAGTGTTGACTGTAAAGCCAAGTAAACTAAAACTGTTAACAATCTCAATCTCTTCATCCATCCTGATGCTGCCAGTTGGCCCAGTGGTGAGAATCCTTGTTTTCTTGATGTTGAGCTTCAATCCATATAGGAGGCTGCAATCCTTGACCTGTAGCAAGCGCTACAGGTCCTCAGTTTGAGCAAGCAGGGTTGTGTCATCTGCATAACGCAAGTTGTTGATGACTCTTCCACCAATCCTGATGCCACATTCCTCCTCGTACAGCCCAGTATCTCGGATGATCTGTTCTGCATACAGATTGAAAAGGTATGAAGACAGAATACATCCCTGATGGACCCCCTTCTTAATTTTGAACCATGTAGTGTCTCTTTGCTCTGTTCTGATGACTGCCTCTTGATCCAAGTGTAGGTTTCTCATTAGCACAATCAAATGTTCTGTGATTCCCCTTCTTCTCAGAGTCAGCCATAGCTTGTGAGCCACACAGTCAAAAGCCTTTGCAAGTCAATGAAGCACAGCTACACATTCTTCTGGTATTTGCTTTCTGCCAAGATCCATCTAACCTTAGCTATAATATCCCTAGTACCATGACCTCTTCTAAATCCAGCCTGCACATCTGGCAGTTCTCTGTTGACATATTGTTCCAAACGTTTTTGGATACTTTTCAGCAGGATCTTGCTTGCATGTGATACCAATGATACTGTTCAATTCCCACACTCTTGGGTCACCTTTCTTTGGAATGGGAACAAATAACGATCTCTTCCTGTCAGCCAGATGGCTGTCCTCCAGTTTTCTTGGCACAACTTAGTTATATTATTATAACTTAGTTATATTACTATACTGAGACTCATCACGACCCTATATACAACAGCCCTAAACCCTACTCTACTCTATGCCAATCTTCCTGTCTCCAACACACCTACCCCCATTGCCCCAGTCACTGAATCAATCCACCTCATAGAGAGTCTTCCTCTCCTGTGCTGTCCATCCACCCTCACAAGCATAGTGTCCCTCTACAAGGACTGGTCCCTTCTTGCAACATGTCCAAAGTATGTCAGACGACGCTTCAGAATTCTTGCCTCCAAGAAGCAGCCTGGTTTCACTCTCTCCAGGACAAACTTGTTTGTTCTCCTTACAATGTACTAAATAACTGACAAAATCTTCATAATTCAAAGATATTTTAAAGTTTTCAGTATTTTGATAAATGCCCTGTTTTTCAGGCACATTTTTATTAGATAAATTAGTGGCCTTTGGTGTTCCCTTCTTCCATGGAGTTGCAAGAGGTTGATACTGACACCCAGTGGCTACAGATCAGGAATGCTACTACTCATCCTGCAATGAGTAGAGCTTCCGTGGTTCTGTTGCCAGCAATTAAAGACCCCTGTAGGGTGAAGATGTGAAATGCTTCTAATTTACATAGAAAAAAGTAGCCTTTTGTCTCTTTGAAGTGGTTGCTAGTGAATATAAAGACTTCTACTTTCAGAGTCTGTCCTTTTGCAATCAAGAATCATCTAGTTCAAACTGTCCTTGAAAAAAAAAAAACAAAAAAAACTGTCCTTGATACTTGCTATTATCAGGTTATTTCTGACTCATATTAACTGGTGGCTCCACTGAAGACAGATCAGGCTGTCTCCTCCTGTGAATATTTGCAGCCTAGGAAACCTTCCAGGCAGTTCCACTCTGTTGCCCAGGGTCTCTGAATTGGAATCAACCTAGTGGCAGTGCGCAGTGGTTTTGTGTAGATGTGGGTAAATACAAGGAAACAAACCTGTGTAAGGCAGTAGCTTGTCAGAAAAGGTAAACTATTTTTTACCTAAACCGCAGAAAAGACCATCCCACTCCTTGCTGCGTCTGACCTATTTCACTGTGTGTTTAAAAAAACATTGGACACTGGTAAATGGTAAACAGTTCTTACTAAATGTACCTCTTCATGTGTGCCCTTTGTAGAAAATACACTTTTCATCTTTCATTTACCCTTTCCAGTGGAAACCCTCCCCCCCCTTCCATGTGGTTCGGGTAAGTATAGCAACTGCTCACACATGCCCTGTGTTCCTCCTTTCTATTAAGTCTTTCAAGAATGTAGAAGCTAGGAAAGTAGATTACTTTTTTAAAAATGAGAAAATTAAACAGTGCAGGATCTTTCCTTGGAAACCACAATTGGATAAAAGTATGAAGCACATGGAATATATGTGTATCATCAAACGTGATGTGGTGTTTCAGATGTGTAGAATCAGTAGTGCTCTGACATGTTACTGGACTGACAGAGCTCATGAGTGGAGAATTGAAACGCCGGTTCCCTTGTGTACAGCACGTTCTTGAAAAGCCTGCGCTTTGGATTGGAGATACTTATTGGGCCCCACTGACTTGGTTCCAACCTGGTGTACGACGGAGCCGTCCCTGCACCACCCTCCTGCTCACTGCTGTGAAACAGTCCAAGAATATGAGCATAGTGTTAGCTTTTCAAGTAGAATTTCCTCAGTTCCTTTCTTTGGTTGAAAATTACTAAGGGACAATTTGCAGTTTTGTTTATAGTGGAAAAATCAAGTTTTAAAGGACCAAGTTATGTTCTAGATCGTGAGTCTTTTTCTGGAGCCAGTTAAATGCCGTCAAGTAGATCGAGTAAGACTCATAGCAACTCTGTGAACAACAGATCTAAACCCTGTCATATTCTGTGCCATCCTCAATCTTAACATGGAAGCCAAGCCCACTTCTACAGTCAGTGTTAATCCACCTGGTTGAGGATCTTCCTCTCCCTTGCTGCCCCACTGCCTTCCAAGCATGGTGTCTCTCTCCAAGGAGCGCTCTGGCTGTACCTTCTCCAAGACATACCTGTTCTTCTGGTAGTTCATGGGATATTCAGTGCTCTCCTCCAACACTACAGCTCAAAGGTATCTGTTACCTTCTGTCATCCTTACTCATTGTCCACCTTTCAGATGCATAAACAGGTGATTGAAAAGACCATGACCTAAATCAGAAGCACCTTAGTCCTCAAACTAAAATCATTGTCCCTCTGTAAGTTG